ATATACAGGGGCCGGCCCAGTGGCGCAAGCAGTTAAGTGCGCGCATTCTGCTGCGGCAGCCCAGGGTTCACTGGTTCGGATGCCGGGCGCGCACCAATGCACCACTTGTCAAGCCATGCTGTGAGGGAGTCCCATATAAAGTGGAGGAAGATGGGCATGGATGTTAGCCCAGGGCCAGTCTTCCAAAGCAAAAAAGAGGAGGATTGGCAGATGCTAGCTCAGGGCCAATCCTTCCTCACATACAAAAAAAAAAATATACATTCCTCTTTAATTACTGCATTTTTCTGACGAATTTGATCAGTATATATTGTCAGTCTGGATAATTGAGCCCTCAAAAATGCATTTTCCCTACTTTACTACATGTGTAAGTTTCATTTCATTGTTAAGGCCCCTCAACTAAGAAAGTTATTCTATAGGTAAAAAAGAATTTTACTTTTATAGTAATTAAATGTATATCTTCAGAGAATATAAATAATTTTTTCATATTTCACTATTATGCATCAACACAAGTCTCACACATTCTTATACTACTGGGATATTTTTTCAGGTTATTACAATCTATAGCATTATATAGAAAACAATGTGCAACTTTCTAGCAGATGAAGACCAGGCAAACTTTGAGGTTGTTTGGTGATTTAAATTTAAAACTACAGTTAACCTCACTACATGCAATTTTTTAAAAATCTACAATTTTGTGAACACTTAAGAAATCGTAAATCCTAATATTTATTCTGGGCCTCTGTTGCTCATAGCAACAAAATTTATCCAGCAATGGAATGGAATAAGGCGTCTGTTGTGTATTAAAGAACTACTCGACTTCAGCCTCCAAATATAGGCTTTGACAGTTAAATATAGTTACTCTTTGAACTTTTGTATTTTCTAGCTTCAAAAAGGGGGAAAAGATTCTTAAGAAATGTTATCAAAACAGTGAGAAATCCTTAGCATGAATGCATTCATGCCATTAATATGTGAAGGTGTTGGAGAAAAAAATGGCACACAACTTATTCTTTTTTCATACTCTCAACTGGTAGTAATCAACCTAACATGACTCTTAGAAACCAAAATGTTTTATGTATCCAGAGTACTCTTCTTTCTGAGGGGAAACTAGAATGTTTTACAAATCACTGCAGGAATCACGAACAGGGTAAAATGCAGAAGAACCCAGGGATGTGCCATAACACAGCAGCCTGAAATGGGGCCCCAGGTAGAAGAGTGGGAAGAATTATGCCTTTGGCATCTGCAAGGTCATAAACTCCAGTTTCTCCAGGTTATGAGGAGCACCTGCATCCCCAAATGATGGCTATTGGTGACAACACTGGTCTTATACCAAAAGTTGCTATTTTTGTTTTTTTTGTTTTGGTTCCTTTTTAATATGCCAGCTGTTCCTTCCCATTGTCACCTGAGTGAGGTCTCTGCTGACATCCCTGGCTATGGTATCTTTCACCATCAGTGATTCATCTTAGTCCATTAAAGGTTGGCACAGATGACATTAATAGTGAAGGGTCAAGACTTCTAATTTCTTGCCTAAAAGTTGCTGTTGTTGACAGCTCAATGCCTATGGATCTGACTCCGAGAGAAATATGCCACTTACTGAACCACCAAAACCACCTCCTTGGTTTTGGAGTAGGGGTGCTTACTTTCTCATCTGAAAATTCACATAGCCCACCCAGACTAATTTGAAAGAGATAGGACTGCTGCTGAAAAGGCAAGGCAGCAAGCCACACAAATTGAGTGGTAAGACTAGAGAGTAAGTCGTGAACTTGGCAGGAATAGATCCTCTGATGGGAGCTGGCAACTGGATCTTGGCTGGTGCCATTTCTCAAAGGAAATTGATAAATCCTGAATTTTCCATTTATGCATAACAGCTGTGGCTTTGTCTCTACAGAGAGTTTGTGATAAATTTCTAAGCATTGCTAAATTAACTCTTATTGCATCAACTTGAAGGAAATCTGTTGTATCAGGAAGAATTAACACACGTCCAAGGAGACAGAAACCCATTTAAGATTACATAAAATCCTATGACCTTAATTTTGTGAAAGGTCCTGCTCAGCTAAGGAAGAAACTAGAAAACACTTTAGAGCACTTTATGCTTCTGGTGGTATGGAATCAACAGTTTGGGAAGCTTAATGCCTTTATACCAAGTCTTCTCTTGGTATAAATTCTGGTCAGAATTCTTTGAATTCTAACTTGTAGAGAATTTTGTAAGAAAAAGACAGTTCAGTTTTCAGGGCTATTGTCTTAAATTCATCTACTCTTTTATGAACCCCAGTAGTTTCAGAGATGCACTTTAAAGTAGAGTAGCTTCTGTTTTCATCACCTTTGACAACAATAGAAGTTTTTATCATGACAGATGAACCTATATTCCAGACTATGTTCTCGAAATAAATATCCCCTCCAATGACTATCTGATAGGGCCACCATGATCATCAGGTCACTGGGTCTTCTAATCTCAGTAAGTGGAAAACCACATGGTAACAATCTCAAGTCACTCACTGAGCTAGATTCAGACAGACATAGAAACCCAAAGTATTATATCATCCCTGGAACTGACAACAGACTGGTAGGAAAAAAACACAAGAACAGTGGAAGAAGTCAAAGTCCGAAGTATTCAATCTTTTAGGGCTACATTTTATGCCTAGGAGACCTCATCCATTCCCCTGATTACTGTCTATATGCTAATGACACCCAAGTCTATATATCAACACAGACCTCTCCTCTAAGCTCCAGAATCATAATTCCAACTATGTAGTGAACATCTTCCCTGAATTTCTCTTAGGCAACTCAAACCAGATAGGTCTAAATTTGAACCTGTATTACTTTTTCCCAGAACTTGCTCTTTTCCTCTTTCCCGTTTCTCATCTACCTTCTCATCCAAACCAGAAATCTAGGAGCCATCTTTGACTTTTCCCTCTGCTCCACTCCTAAATCTATAAACACTCTCAAGTGCTAGCACTTTGCTTAGTCCTCTCTGTCCTGTTATTGCCAGGTTCTCACCATCACTTGCTTGAACTATTACAGTGGCCTTCTAACTGCTCTATCTCCACCAGTCTTGGCCCCCTCAAATCCATCCTCTACACTGCTGCTAGAGCGATCGTTCTCAAATTCAAATCTGACTGTGTCTCTTCTTAAAACTTTTCATGGCTTTCCACTGCTTATAGCAGCCTAGTGTATAAGGCACTTCAGCACGTAATCTCTCTACCTCTCCAGCCTTATCTCTTCCTTCCACCTTGTATTTCCTTTGCACTTTACACTCCAGAAGTAGTGAATTACCTGTAATTCTAGAGATATACCTAGTAAGCTTTCTGCATCCATGACTTGCATGTGCTATGTCCTAGAATTATCTATACCCTCATCTCCACTCCTTCTGCTCCCTGACTGCCTGAAGAACTTCCTCTACATCATCTAAAATCCTAATTATAGGTCATCCTTCCTAATCTAGACAAGTTTAATCACTTCCTTTCCTATTACTTCCTGTATCAGAATAGTTCTTACTTCCTTTCCTATATTACTATGCAAGTATGCAAGATATAGAAGGAACACATCAAAACCCTTACACATTATTACAAACACTTACACTTCTGTCTCCCCAGGACTGTGACTCATTAAGGGCACAGACCTTTTTGTATTTAGTTTTATAACCCTGATGCCTAGCATAGCATCTGGCACACTGTACACTCAATAAGTACTGGCTATTCTTGAAGAGGATTCTAAAATTTATCAAACTACAAAAAAAAAAAAAGAGAGAGAGAGGGCCACTACAGCCAGACTTGTTATTTATCCTGCAAAAATCACATAAATTGATAATATCAACATAAATATATGTTTGTCAGACGATCAATTAGATGGTTGAAATAGTCTTTTTCTCTGTAAGTCTGTTTCAGCACTTCAGAAATCCAAAGGTCTTCACTCAGAAAAAATTTCAAAAACTATTTGTATCCTCAAAACACCACAACTGCTCAGTACTATTAGATCCCTTCTGTGAGGAAAGTTACAGAGAGGTTATAACTGGGTACTAGTATTGGGATTAAGGCTGTGATTTATATATATATACACACGTTTAGGTACATGTCCCATCTACTCCCCCAACGAGACAGAAGTGGGGTTTGTTTCTTTGATAGGCTTTATTTCCCTGCCCCATTCCACACACATTGTGTCTGCTCAACAGACATGCAGTCCTAGTTCTAATAATAATGGTAAAGTTGACAGGCAGCCTGCATTAGTGGAAAGAACACTGGCCAGGAGCTAGGACCCCTGACTAGCAATGACAAAAAGGAAAAAAAGAGAAGTCCCCGTCCCGAATGAGCTTATATATAAACGAGAAGTAACGAGGAAGAAGTAACAATTTTGAGGACCTACTATGTATTAGAGCCTGACTTTGGCACTTGATATAAATTATCCAATTTAGTCCTTACAAAAACTCTATGAGGGAGGATCAGTATTGTCTCGATTTTACAGGTAAGGGAACTAACTCAGAATAATGTGCCCAAGCACACATAGCTACTAAGTGGCTCAGACAGCATTCGAACCTCAGTCCAGAGCCCACATTCTCAACTAGTATTCTATACTGCAAGTGTTTTGTATGTCAAATTTGAAAGAAGAAACTTAAAAACTTATACTCAAAATTTTATATGTCCATCTCACTGATCTTCAAACAACTGCACAAGATAAGGAATTTTTTTTTTTAACTGTAGTTTAATAGCTTTGCAGAGAAGGCAGTAAAATGCAGTGAATTAGAGATCATGCTCTGGAGTCAAGATGCCTTGAGTGTCATCTAGGCCTCACCTCATGTGAGCTGTGTTTTCTTACTTATTTTATTACTCCCTCAGAACTTCAGTTTTTGCATAAAGAGAATAATACTATTTTATAGGGTGAATATGAAGATTAAATGATATAATACTTGTAAAACCTTAATAAAGATTTAATAAATAGCAATACTAGAAAATTAATAGTAATAAAAGCTAACAAAGAAATAAACTACAAAAACAGCAAGAATTACTTACAGAAGCTAGTAATCTTCCATCCTCCTTCATAGCAAGATAACGGTTCGCACACACTCCTTTGATAGACACAACCCCTCTCTCTTCTGCTTGAAGTTGTAGTTTGACTGTAAGTAATGGGGAAAAAAATACCTTTGTAGCATCACAGAAAAAACAGCCATCTACATATTTATGCAATATAAATACAAGAGACACCTGAGCAACCAGCTAGTCCACTCTGGAGGATAGGCGAAGTGCGGGGGACAGGGGACAGGGGACAGATGTGAATTAAATTCTATTAGCAAGGATGAGATGTGGACGCATTAGAGCATGAGTGCCTCTTGACTCCCTTCTCACTACGGTGTCAGTGAGCAGAGAAGAGTGACAGAATGGAGAAATTTTTCCTTTGATGTTCAGTTAGCCTCCACTTGGCCCTGTGAACTGCTTAAATTTTATTTTTTAAAAAAAACTGAACACATTTTAAGAGTACATAAAAGTCTAAGCCACTTGTGAGAATTTCTGTGGTCTGTCTCAGTTTAAACTCTTTAAAAGTTATTTTTAACCAATTCTTCACAAATAAAATTTAATCTAATTGCTCACTATTATCTTTTGATTTGTATTTCCTTGAGTTTCTACACATTATTTCGAGCTTCCCCTTCAATGCATTTATCTGTCTTTATGGAGGGATTGTGACATATAGCTTTTTTTGCAAATATCTATCTAGTGGAAAAACAAAATGCTTATACTTAATTTGCTTATACAGTGTGATGAAAGGTTTGCAGAATGTCAGATCCTGAAGAGAGTGACCTGTTACACTACATGATCAATATTAAGCATATTGTAGGAAAACAAAAAATAAATATTACATGATTATGATGATAATGCCATACGCACAAATAATCATCTAATTAATTCAAATAAAGTTAAAATTTTCTATTTTGCTATTCAGAGGGAGCATTCTCGTGCTTAGAACAGCATTCCCCAAAATGTATTTTGGCTAACAGAGGTTACATAAAATATAGGTTCTGGGGCCAAATAAATTTAGGAAATTCTTGGTTAAGCCAATTTAACTCTTTATTGCCCAACTCCTCAGAACTTTGCTTCTGCATTGTAAATCACCACAAGGGGATCAAGTATACAGTGTTTATAAAATTTACTTCGCCCCAGAATGAATTTTTTCATAGGCCATTCTAAGTAAATTTAATTTTCCCAGGTGTTTCCAGGTAGCTAGGGAAACATGGCATGAAAAAGTGATATTTGAAAGATTCTGGAATTATTATTAACTTTGTTAGATATTATTATATCATAGTAATTATGTTTTAAAATTTTTCCTATCAGGTAGAGCCACATACAGATAAAAGAGATGACCAGCTGCTTACATCTCTAACAGGAGGGAGAATGAACCTGCCAAAAAAGGAACTATGGAGAAACCAGCTGAACTTTCACAAACGTAAGAGCTGCTAACGTGAGGAATTCAAATTCTGAGGAGCCCTAATCAAAGAGCAACCCCATACGCCTCTGCCAGTTCTTGCCCACAGAGCGTGCACCTAGTGCACAACCACCACACACCACAGGCTGGAGGCAGAACAGAAGGGCTGAGAGATACTCCTGAGTACCTCAGGCCTTTGCTCAGGGCAAAGCAGCAGTCCACTGGGAGAAAGACAAGGCTGAGAGAATCCCTCTGACAAGTACTGAGCCTTCACTAAAGGCAAAGCAGGATGAAGAGAGCTCTTCCAAGACAAGGAAAGCCAGGGGAAGAGTTCAAGAGCCAGGTTAACTCCTGACCTACCCAAACAGTTGGCAGCTAGGCTATAAAGCAAAATGGAATACCAAAAACTACTCAATTAACCCAAAAAAAGGCAAGAAAGGAGAAACAGAAGGAAAAAGAACAGATTGGGAAATTAGAAAACAAATTCCAAGACAGCCGATTAAACTCAAACATATCAATAATTACACTAAATGTAAATGAACTAAATACTCCACTTAAAGGAAAAAAGTTGTCAACAAGATAAAAACCAAGGGGCTGGCCTGGTGGCATAGTGGTTAAGTTCGTGTGCTCTGCTTCGGCAGCCCGAGGTTCCCAGGTTCGGATCCCGGCACGGACCAATGCACCACTCATCAAGCCATGCTGTGGCAGCGTCCCATATACAGAATAGAGGAAGATGGGCACAGATGTTAACTCAGGGCTAATCTTCCTCAACAAAAAGAGGAAGATTGGCAGCAGATGTTAGCCCAGGGCCAACCTTCCTCACCAAAACACACAAAAAAAATATATAAAAAAGCAAAACCCAACTATTTTGTTTACAGAAAAACACTTTAAATACAAAGATACAGGCAAGTTGAAAATAAAAATGTGGGAAAAAATATAAAATGCACACCTTAAGTATAAGACTGCTGGTATGGCTATATTAATATCTGATGATGTGGACTTCAAGGCAAATAGTATAACTAGAGATGAACAGGGTTATTTCGATGATAGGAGGGTCAGATACACTAAGAAGACATAATAATCTTAAATGTGTAGCACCTAATAATAGAACTATAAAATAGCTGAAGCAAAAGTTGACAAATGAAATAAACAAATCAAGATCTGTACACCGAAAACTATAAAACATTTCTGAAAGAAATTGAAGAAGACACAAAGAAATGGAAAGATATTCCGTGCTCTTGGATTGGAA